AGTCCAAGAATAATGCATAATATTATTTCTTTAGAACACTCTCCATACAGTCGTGGGCATCATTGTTAGTTTAAAGAATTAAAGCAGAACAAAAGTTTCAAGAGTTTCTTTCAATTTGTTCCATTTTCTGAATATAACCTGTTAACCTGCTTGATTGGACCAGTTTTTGATCAGGATGTTCTTTAGAAATGTTTTTATTAAACGGCTCTACTCTAACCTTAATAGACTTTGTGGCCTGATAATCTTTTGTGACGTAAGTAATATGGAGTGAGATATTTTTACAAAGCAAACTCAATCATTGTTCATACAAATGATATTAATACTCATTCATCATACTTTCATACAGTGCTTTTTTGGACTCAAAGACAAAGCAACTGTAGAACACAAACTCACCATCGACACTTTTGAGTGGCTCGAGAAGCTCGTCGTGGTCCAGAGGGAGAATTATCCTGTTTGATATAATTAACTGAAATGTCTTATCCAAGAAACCAATGATTTATAAAGAAAAATTCTGAGACAAGATAAGAGATCCTTTATTCGTCCCACGGTGGGGAAATTTCAATGTTGCAGCGCACAGACAGGACAGTAATAAGAACACACAGGGAGCACACAAAATATACAAAATAAGTAGCTGCTATGTTTCTTATCAAGCTGTAAATGCTTCAATAACAGTCTTTCAAATATATATGAATGTATGAAAATGTATAGGGGTGCCCAAACTTTTGAATCCCACTGTATAATGCTTTACTGTGCAGATGTTTGAGAGCGAGACAGGAGCAGACGGCTCACACACCGACCGAAAGCAGCAACTGAAGCAAGATGGAAAAACCCCCAAAACTCAGAGAAGAACCAGGACAGAGAAGTGAAAGAGCCAGAGAGCCACGCAGCGTGACGGGCGGCAGGTGCTCAAGGCCGTTGTTACAGGAAGGCCTTATTTACCTCTGTCTCTGAGGAGAATAAAATACATTTCACTGTGACTTTACTTACATTTACCACATTTTTAGTTTTTCCGGCCTGGTGCAACACAGTGCATGCAGAGGGAACATTGTCAAACTAAATGAATAGATTTTTACCTTCAGTTTATTCCAAAAAACACATCAATATAATACTTGTGTAGGCACATAGGACAAATGACAGGTGACAAACATAAAATAATAATATTTAGAAACATTTTGTTTTTTTGTCACAAGTGTTTTCGCCTCATTTGGTCTGAAAGACAAAAAAAACAAACAATTATGTTAGTGCTGTATTTACAATGAAAAATAAAGCAACAATAATAGAACAGATACACAACGCTATCCTGGGTTTTTCAAGCATTTTCTTGCATTCTTTTTTAAACAAATGTATGAAGTTATTGTCTTTAGATGACATAAATCACTCTAAATTCAAGGTTTCACTCATTTCAGTTTAGTTAAGAATGTACTTTCATTAAATAGTCACATTTTTAAAATAGAAAACTGCTCTGAATGAAAATATGACATACTGTTCCTTTAAAATGAATAATATTGGTAATGCACTTGGTTTCACATGGTTTCTCTTTCAAATAAAAATAATGCAGCTGCTCCACAGCAACAAACAAATAAATGACTCTGTTAGAACGGCAGCAAAATGCTACTGATGAAAGATTGTTCACAGAACAATAACCAAAGTTACAAACTACACTGAGGAAGAATCTGTCAGATATAGTTCACAGATCTGTTTCAGTGAGCACTTCACTTTTACAGAGACAATCCATCCCAGCTCACAGATGCACACACACATGTGCATGAACACACACATGTGCAAGGACACACACCTGTGCATGAACACACACATGTGCAAGGACACACACATGTGCATGAACACACACATGTGCATGGACACACATGTGCATGGACACACACCTGTGCATGAACACACACATATGCATGGACACACACATGTGCATGAACACACAAATGTGCATGAACACACACATGTGCATGAACACACACATGTGCATGAACACACGAATGTGCATGAACACACACATGTGCACGAACACACACATGTGCACGAACACACACATGTGCTTGAACACACACATGTGCATGAACACACACATGTGCATGAACACACACATGTGCATGATTACACACATGTGCATGAACACACACATGTGCATGATTACACACATGTACATGAACACACATGTGCATGAACACACGCATGTGCATGAACACACAAATGTGCATGAACACACACATGTGCATGAACACACACATGTGCATGAACACACACATGCACAAACCTGCACCACTATTGCCACTGATTCTTTAATTGTCACTTTTTACTGTACATAACATATCCTACATTTAAGGGGCGACAGTGGCTCAGTTGGTAGAGCATTGGCCTTTGGGCCTGAAGGTCGTGGGTTCGAGCCCACAGTAAGACCTACTTCACGACTCCCACTGATGACTGCTGTCGTTGTGTCCTTGGGCAAGACAATTAACCCCACTTTGCCTGAAGCCCCCACTGAAAGATCTCAGCTCCTGTGGACTCACCACCTGCAGGAGGATCTGTGAGGGGCTGGTGCTCTGTGACTGGGTGCAGCTCTGACTGCCACCCCCCCAACCCAGAAATGGATTAAGGGGAAGAAAATGGATGGCACCTTTCTTTCTTTTGCACAACCTTGAGTGATTCTATCCAACAGATGTGACATGTACATTTCTCATGTGAGATCAATAAAGTCTTTCTTATCTCATTTCTTAGAAAAGGTAAAAACAGAGTTTGGTCTTGTTTGATGAAAAAACAAAGCAGTGTTTATGTTTCTGTTCAGTGTGTGTAAAGTTGGACTGTGCGCCTGGTACTTACAGTTAATATTATATTATTATTATTATTATATTATCAAGGTACATTATATTTACCTTGACGGCTGTGGTGGCGACACTGAAGAGCAGAGTGATGAGGAAGAGGAGGATGAAGGCCATGGCTGTTTTCTGCATACTGTCCTCCTCCTGCAGCTGCTCAGGGTTCCATCTGTGATACATTTCTATCATGTCCACTACGTAGTCTGGGTCTGGGGACAAACGTGAAATTCATTCTTTTTTTAATACATAAACACATATACATTTGCAAAATTCAAGCAAAATGGGAAAATGACATATTTAATAAATAACTGCAGTGAATAAACCCCATGATGCAACACTGACATTTACCAAATGTGAAACAAATACAGGATTTATTAAATGAAATGAAATCAAATTAAAATTCATCTTGGAGGCCGAGTGTGAACATCCTTATTCCCAAAGCCAACTTATTCCCAAAGCCGGGAACTGAAGAAATCCTGGTTCCAAAGTTCTGGTTTGAACGAGTAATAAAGTGATGGTATCTGTCCGAGCTGCAACTTTTATAAATCATAACTCAACCTTTTTCACAAGTTTAATTTGAGAACTATGGACCCTGTTGACACGAAGACACAGTGGTATTTATCTCATATACTGTAAGTGTTTATGGTTTATTAGATTCACATTCAGTTAGCCAAACCCTCCATTATCACCAAGTCATGAGTTCATAAAGTTCTTTTAGTTTAAAAAAAGAAAGAAAAAGAATATTGTAACCTTACTTTATTCCAGATATATTTTATTATATTTTTTCTACAATTTTATATTCATTTTCTAATATTGAATTATTCTAATATTTTTCAATTCTATATTTCACCTTTCCTCTTTTTGGGACAAATAAGGTGTTTCTGTATGTTTTAAATAACAGCCCTGATAAGATCCAACAGAGCAAACAGACAGAATGGATTAATAAAACCTATTCATCTCATTTTTATTAGATTCACTTTACCAAAATAAAAGTGTATTTCTTTTATTTTACATATTTTGTTTTAAATGTTTGCTTTAATTTTTGTAGATTAGATTAGATTCAACTTTATTGTCATTCCAAAGTCAGAACAATGCGACGAAATGCAGTTTAGCGTCTAACCAGTGCAATAGCCCAAGTATAGGACAATATTTACAACACAGATAAATATATTTGCATAAATGAGAGACAGTACAAGCTATAAGTACATTAATTATAATTAGTTTATTACACAGCTCCTCACAGCAGCAGTAGAACGCTCCATTGATTTGAAAGTCATTTCAAAACGTTCTACTGCTCATTAATGCACCATAATGCACCATACACACACATACACAACTGTTTAGTGCACTGTTGTGACTGCACTTTAAATGAAGCACCAAACTTTTCCCAAACTTTTCCCGAACTGTCTTCTTTAATATATATTTTTTTAACCCGTCATATCCACGGACTGCAGGAGAAATAGTTCTCGTTTTTCACAGTTAATTTGTTGTAAATGCTTAAATTTTGTTTCATGACGCGCTGGTGGGACTCGAAACCCTGACTCCCTGGACCTGAGGACTGGTCCACAGCCGTTGGGAGTTGGCGGTTCTGTGACGCCCCTTGATACGACTGTTGTTGTGATTTTGGGCAACACAAATAAAATTTATTTGATTTGATTATTTCTTGATAACGGACCTCTCAAAACAATAATGACCGGAAAATAAGTACCTTCAGGGCGGAAGCAGAACCCTCCTTACATATTAGTAATGTTGTAATAACTTTATTCCAAATAGATGTTATTACTCGTGTTACTTCATGTTATGTTTTTGCAATTTCATCACATTTATTCAACGTTGCACTTTGCATTTCTAGACTGACATTTCTTCATTGTGAGACATATAAAGTTTCTCTACGTTATATTGGAATAACACCCTGGTACAGTGCAAGATCCAGTAGAGCAAACAGACAGTACACAGGGACACAAGCAAACAGAATGGACTTTTATGGAAAAATAATAATAATAAATATGTGTATAGTATTTTAGTATTCAGTATTGTATCTGTCAGCATGCAAAACAAGACATGACATCACCAAAGAGGACATAAGACATCAACACATAATACTTGCTGATGATTTTTATTGATTGAATATATAATGAGGCACAGACAAAGACACAACACAGAGACACAGGTCTACTGGGCCTTGCACCGGTCCGAGATCCGCATGTTGAGGTTGACCATGGTTGTCTGCTGCGGAGAGTTCTGCGTGATGGACCTGACGTAGCTTTTGTTTTGCTCTACGGACTCGTGGTGAACCAGGCAACTGTACGCCCGCTCTGGGACGTCCCACTCGCTCAGGGGCACGCTCAGGCGGCTGTAGGCCTCGAAGGCGCCATTTGCTTCCATGCTGCCGGTGGTTCTGAAGTCGTGTGTGGCGTCCTTATCGTCAATCAGCCACGACACGTAGAGTTCTTTTGGGTAGAAATCTTTTATGTAGCAGGTTAGAGTCACAACGCCCTCCCTAGTTTGTTTTAAAGGGGGCAGCATGAATATGGAGGGAGGTTTCAGAGACTTGACCACTGTGGAGATCAAGTACAATTCAAGCTTAGAATGATTAGGGAAGGTTCGGGTTAAAGGAGACATTATCACAAATCACCGTTTTCTCCAGTTAAACATGTCACAACATTGACCTGGTGCTGTTTTTAGATCCATCCAAACTCGCCAATTTATGGCACAAACATCCATCCATCCATCCATTTTCTACCCTTTAATCCATTTCTGGGTCAGGGGGGTGGCAATCAGAGAAGCCACCCAAGTCTCATAGCACCAGCCCCTCACTGACCCTCTGCAGGTGGTGAGTCCACAGGAGGAGCTTCTCTCTGAGTTTGAGCATAGCCTTGATCTTTCAGTGGGGCTTTGGGCAAAGTGGGGTTAAGTGTCATGCCCAAGGACACAACGACAGCAGTCATCAGTGGGAGTCGGTGGAGAAGGTGCAGAGGTGGGAATTGAACCCACAACCTTCTGGCCATAAGGCCAATGCTCTACCAACTGAGCTACTGTTTATATTTCCCCTTTTTATGCTTTACTTTTATCTTATGTTTATTTTTGTCCCAAACTTTTGATTATTTATTTGTTTATTTCATTATTTTTACTATTCTGTCTATTCAATTACATGTATTTTTGTATAGGCTCAAATCTCAACGTCAGTCGTCTCGGAGGACATGGCAAAGTTGTCGATTTGCCAACGACAGATCAGAAAACAGTCGGTACACAGGAAATTCAATAATAACAAACACAGAGGAGCCGTAGATCCATCAGAGCGGGAGGACAAATGTGCATAAATCAGTTTTGACAATGTCTCAGCTGAAATTATGTCTGACTTTGCTGCCAGTAATTTTAAACTAGGGAAAAAAAGTATTCTCCTTCTTTTGGTAGCATAAGGAGTTAAAGGCAGAAAGGTTTTTTTTTTTTCTTAAATCCTTCATACTTGTTTCACCATATACGTTCTATCATTTCATCATTTAAAATACTTGTTAGTTTAAAGAATAAAATCTAAACTTGTTTTAAGATTGATTTTTGATTCTTTTTATGAATATAACCTGTTGGTACGATTGGACCAGTTTGTGGGTTGGCATGGCAACAAGGTGAAAGACGCAAATAATACGTTTTTGATCAGGATGTTCATCATAAATGTTGTGAAAAATACAGACCATTTTCATGAAACATATTCTTTCCTTAAACACATGTTGCTGCAGATTAAACTCCAGCCTTAGTTGACTTTGTTGGCTGTTGTGATAATCTTTTGTGATGCATATAATATTTTTTACAAAGCAAACTCAATCATTTTTGAAACTAATAATACTAATAATAACTCATCAAACTTTTATAGTGCTTTTAGACTCAAAGACAATGCAACTGTAGAACACAAACTCACCATCCTTCCTCTCATAGACTCTTTTGAGTGGCTCGAGCAGCTCGCCGTGGTCCAGCAGACAGGTGCGCCGGACGCCACTGTTCCACTCTTCAAACGTGATATCCAGAGGGAGAATGATGCGTTTTCCATTGATTTGGGCCCCGGGGTCAGTGGGGGTCATCAGCACACCCATCTTCTCATCCCTCCAGGACAGATTGACCTCTCTGCTCACTAAGCTGGCCTTTGGGAACGTCACTTCACACCGGACCTCCCCATTGCGCTTAAGCAACAAGTCTTCCCAAGAGGGCGGGATGATTTTCATGTCAAAACCTTCCTGCGTGCCTGAAACGGAGAGGAAACAATAATGTGTTAAAGCTGGAGTAAAGTTTCATTTATGACATTTGAATTCCTAAATAATAGTCTTGTGTAGAAAACATTTTGTGAACAAACCACCACAGGCTATCTGTGTTTCAGAAGTTCACATGTGATTGTTTACATTGAGAGCTGATTGGCTGAGTGAAGGTGGTCCTCTCTTTATCACTTTTCTATCTAAAAAAACCTGAACTTAAGATGTGGCATGAGCCAAACACAGTGAAAACAAGAGCCACACTTTTTTAGAGCGAAGGACAAGCCACATGGATTTATTACATGGTTATTTTTGTGTTCTTTCAAATGTAGGTTCTCCAACTCTTACTCTCCTGGTGAACAATAAACACACAATATGGACCAGTTACATGAACAGTCGTTGAGTTGTCGAGTAAATGAATGATGTTGAACATT